AAAAAAAAGTCTTTAGATTTTCCTTAACATAAAAGGTTTGAGGTTTGAGTTTGTGGTGTATGAGTATGCATATGTTAACATGTATTTTTCAGGAAGAAAATGAGAGGAATTCTCAGGTACATCTTGACTTCCTTTTTAAATCATTGAAGATATTAATGATGATTTTAGGACATAAACCCACAAGTACCTCAAAACATATTTACTCCTGAGGAAGTTTTACATAAAAATTAACATTGTTTCATTCAACTCAATTCACTAGGTGTCTAGCATGTGCCAAGCACCAAGCTAGGAAATGTCTATATAAAGGCAATAAAGACAGAGGTTCTACCCTGAACAGACTTATAGACTACTGAAGAAGAAAAGACCACAGGCATTTACAAGCCAGAGTGTGATGGTGCCAACATGATCAAGGAGCATCCCCCCTACAGTTTAAGTAAAACAATTTTTTTTAAGTAAACTTTAAAAACTGTCTATTTTTAAAATCTCATTGTGAATCCTTCTATAAAGAAAATGATTTTACATAAAAAGGGAAATTATATTTATTCACATAAACAGATATGGTTAACTGTGGCACATGCCAGGATTAGCTCAAAAGTGAAACAGACCCCTTAGTTATAATATCCGTAGACAACCAACACCAGTGCTGCACAGTCAATCCTTAGCAAAGATGCTTCATCTTTTAAATTCATGCATCTGTCTTTCCACTCACCTTCCCAAAAAACAAGAACTATAAATATAGAGCCGGGGTACTTTCTAGGCCTTATGCTCCCACCTGGCAAGGTTATTAGCCTGAACAGAGTGCACACTCCTAGGCAGTCTCCCTTCCTGCTCTCCCCATTGCTGTCCTCAATCCCACACAAAGACAAGACCTGTCCCTCTGGGCAAGTGGGGCAGGCCTACCTCAGGACTGAAGCGAGCAGACCAAGCCATCTGATGTCAATACAGGACTTCATGGGGAGTGAGGGTTGGGAAAATGGGGTACCTGCACAGTTGGCAGCACCAAAATGTTACCTGAATTCCCATTTGGCTATTGTTCTCTGGTGTATGTGTGGGGGG